GTATATATTCACATTTCTCATTTATATGACTATGAATTGTGTTGCAGAGAGATGACAGTTGTGTAAAGAGCATTCAAGCATAGCTTCAGTCTATGTTTGTAGGCAAATGTAGGCTTAACTTTACTTTCTACAGAATATTTTCTACCTATTCAGGTTGTTTTTTGTTCATTAAAGCCATAACCTTTGCTTTTCATTGCTATACTACAGTTCAAGATTAACTAGAAAATTTCCCTCTGTGCTCAGTTTTTTCTATATTCTCATTTAATGTGTCCAGAATTATGATGCACATATCTTCTTTGTACACTGTGCACCAAATTTCATATTGAAAAAGACCAGACATACCAGTCTAGGCAGTGAGAGCATCCATGCAGGGATCATCTACCTTTTTATGCCTAGGTATGAGAAGGTAGTTCTTTTTTGTTTTTGTTTTAGTTCAGTTTTTCAATTTTCTCCTTGTTTCTTTATCTTTATGACAGGTGTACACCTCATTAAGCGCATCACAGTTGGGTAACACTGTGTAACTATTTGAAACAAATAGTGTACATGGTAAATGATTCATTTGATAATAATAATATATATTACTCTTAGTGATATAACCTGAAGGCCTTATCCTACTAGTACTCTTTCTGTATTTTTTTTTGTTTGCATGTATAGCATGAAGATAGTAGCATTGGTTTTCATGTTACTAATTTCTGTTATAACCTTGTGCTATTAAGGATCTATACTATTAGATTGTTTTTATTAACAAATAACAATAAAGTATTTTGTGTCAAGTATAACCTGATATCATAGAATGTATTGTTTTACAATTTTAGGTAATATTTATATAATGATATTTATTTTGAACAATATATAAGGATGCGTGTGTTATTCCGATGACCTAACTTGTTTGTTTACTTGTGGTACTTTGCCATTGTGATAAGGTTGGACCATTTGCTTAAAAGAAGTTCATTTTGAAACATTAAATATTGTGGCAAGTCCAAATCTGTGTCTTGTGTTTTCTTTACAAGTTACTGTGATTTTACTTTCATTGATGATATTTATTCCAAATGCCTAAGATTTTTTTAATGTAGTCTCACTATTATAATATGTTTGAAAAAATACATATATGGTAAAGTGTGTTTGTTGAACTATGGCTGATTATAGATCTTTTGGGAAGTGGCCACTAATTGGAGCATATAATATATGTGGTTGACAAATATAAAATGCAGAATCACAAGTTCTTTTTACTCATATGCAAAACTATAGGTAGAGGTGGCAAACTGAGGTTGATATTAGTCAAAAAGTGGGTAAAGAGAGCATTATTAATTATTTATCTCATGACGTATTTTATGACCACCTGTTATAAAGTTATTCCCTGTGTTCTACTTGCATATGTAGTGGTGCTCAATGCCTTTACCTATATTTCCAGACATTAGACATGTTTGAAACTGATGGATGTGACAACTGCGATGAGTTTCTAAGAATGAAGAATAATCGTGACCAAGTCTACGACTGTACATCCTCTAATTTTGATGGGTAAGTTTAGAATTATTGAATTGCTTGAGTATGGCTGGCAGATAAATTGGTGATATGATAATAATCATTATTAGGTAACTGAAATTTGTAATGAATCTGTAGAATACTTTTAAATGAATAAATACTAAAAACATGAACAGAATGATATGTTATGCTTTCTTTGTTATATCTGAATAAGTAAATTTGTGATAGATTAAACCCTTTTATTTTTTCAGATTTATTGCCCTTATGAGTCCAGAGGATAGTTGGGTTGCCAAATGGCAGAGAATTAGTGAGTATCTGTTGTATTAAATACCAATAAAATAGGGTCTCATATGCATGCAAAAATGTGTGGACTATTTTGTAGGTGAAAAGTAAATGCCTAGTCCAAGCAGTGTTGAGGTTCCCCTAATACTGAAAATGAATAAAGTTGGTTGACAGGATCATATGAATATAACGGGCATGCATATGGGCTACAAGTCGCTGCTGCATTTGGTGTGTGTAAGTAATACTGCAACAAACATTTTTAATGTCAAAAAAGATGAAGAAAAGGCAGACTTTGCTTCAGAGTTGATAAAAAAAAAAAATCAGAAATTTAAGTGTTATTATAGGGTTAAGCCTTTGTTTTATTCTCTTTGTTCTTTTGTTTCTTTGCAATTCACATTCTTTCCAACTTTTCCTTGTTTTCATCCTCACCTTTGGCTTCATCTTCATTTATCCATCTGCATATTCTGCTTTTCTTCACCAATTTCTTTTTCTCTTTGTTTAAAGATAGTTAAATGTTCATTGTTAATATTAAAGTCTGCATACCAAAGAACGACAATCTGCATAAATATAATGACTACTCAGGAGTAGAATTTATTGTAAACATGACAGATAGGATTCATCTAGTTTTTCATACCATGTAATCACTGTTTCTATTAGCAAAGTGAGTCTTGAGCATCTTTTAATTATTTTTATTCGACCACAGATCGCTGTTGCCGGGGAATGTATGCCATCTCTATCACTGGACGACTGCCAGCCTCCGTTATTAGGGAGATGAAATCCCGTGGAATTAAGTACAGGCAAAGGGATATGACAAAATTGTAGTTTAAGTGTAGCTGTATTGTGAGGGCCAGTGCTCCTTATCTATTTTAAGGCAGACTTATTTTTTACATGTAATTTTCAGAGCAAAGTTTGATTCATGTGTTTATATTGTGTGAAACTTTAAAACAGTTCTTTGAAAATTTTCTTGATTTTTGTAATTCCACTTTTGTTTCAAGACTTACTTTTCATTTTTATGTCTAGATTTTAGAAAGTCCAATTATAGATGTTCATGCATACTAATAGGGATGTTTCTGCAGTTTCACACATATAAGATTGTCATTTTCAGTATATTGTATATTTTTCATATCTTGTTTGTTATATCTTTTAAAATATCAATTAATGAAAGGACTCATAAAAAAGTTTTATTAATCATGTGATTATAAATTGTATTTTGCATCCTGAACACATAAATGTCTTGTGAAAGTATCCTTTTATAATTATGTTTTTTTATCCTGACTTTTTACATTCAGCAGTCACCAACATGAAATATCGGACAAATATGAATAAAATTGTCAGTTACTGTTGAATCTTGTAGTAAAAATACTTTCAATATGTTATGATAGTAATTATAGTCTAGCTTGAAAAGTAAAAATTTTAGTGAATGAAAATTTAGATTTACAATTTTCTTGATGTATACAAGTGTTAACTGATTTGTAAAAGTGTTGATTGTCATCAAAAAGACTGTATTTCACTTATTTAGGTGATATGATTATGGTAATAAATTTTCAGTTCTCA